CCCCCCCCCCCCCCCCACAATAAAAGCCCCCGGATCCACTATTATATTCCAGCGTAAAAATTTTCCAGGGGGTCTTCTATTAAGAACCGCATTTTTTCCTAATATTTAATGTAAAAGGTTTTTCAGAAAACTAAGGCGATTTTCAAGATTTCCATCAGGATTTTAGGCTTTTAAGGGTGCCATTACAATGGTGAACAAATTCTCTTAATATTTCCAGCTTAAAATGCTAAGAATCAGGCATATTTTTATGGGAAAACGCTAAGTAAAGTTCGTAATAAGCAAAAATTAATTAATTAAAGGGGGGTCTTCTATTACGTCAGACAAACTTTTTCTCAAGGGGGGTCTTCCATAATGGGGGCTAGCCTAAAACGTAGCTCAGAAGTTTCATGTATTCCCAGGTCGAGCGTTCCGACCAATGAATCTTGTTGGATCCGGTATGATACAACGGCGGATTATGTTGGAATTGGGTGGTTTCCGGCTCAATTCGATCGGATTCTGTCGGAACGAGCCCTGAATCAAGTGACCCGAAATCCGACGAACATATGACTGGGAAAGAATCTCGTCGGTTCCGATCAGCTCCGGCAAATGGATTCGACTGGATCGTATCCGATCACGTAATAAAAATAAAGGGAACGGACGGGATCAGGTCGAATTTTTATCAAGGTTCTACAAGTTATCTGCACTGAAAAAAGGTCCATACGGAACTTGGTCAAAATTCACAGATTTACAACAAATTAGAAACTTTTTTCAGGCTTCCAAAACTATGATTCCAAACCAAACCATCTTTAATTCACATTCAAATTGGCTTCGTAACTGAGATTTCGTCACAGTTACAATGCGTTCGATCTGCGCTTGCCCGATTCGAACGGATAAACCTATCCCCTAACTTAACCCTAAAACTTTAATCTATCAGCTTATCTATATCTAGCCGCTGACTTAACACCTTAAATTTAATCTATCGCCTAACTAAACCCCTTAACCTTAATCTATCACCTTATCTATATCTAGCCGCCTAGGTTAACCCATTAACCTTTATCTGTCCGCCTAAAATATCCCCGTAGACTTAATCTACACATTTTGTATATCTATCTCCGTAACTTAACACTTGTGTCCTAATCCAACATCCAAACTATTCTCGTAACTGTGCTTAACTCCTTCGCTTAAGCGAAGGTAATTACTTGGGCTCCTCAACAGAAAACGTGCATGACTAGTTTTTATTGTGACTAGAACTTACAGTGCAGTATGTTGTTTTTGATAATCTTAAGTACTTCAACCATTTTGATTTGTTATGACTATTGTTTATTGGAAATATTTCGCTCAATGTCGAATATGATTAGCAGTGAAACAATTAATGATATAAGAAATGAAGTTCGGGCAAGTGTTTTTACTTTAATGCTCACATTCTGAAATGAAATTTGAGAAGTATTTTATAGAATATTTTCGTTTTTTGACGGCCAAAAAGGTTTCACACGAAAGTCTACATGATACTAAACTCTTTTAACGTTTCGTTTGTGCGAACAAAACATTTTTAAGCATGGTAAAATACCGTCGAATCTTTCTTTTTCAATGCAAGCAATTTTTGTTGAAAGAAGTCGATGTTAATAAAAGAATACATGACATTCCTAATGCGTTTTAATTAATCAGAAAATAGTGTCTTTCGTCGTGGATAAAAAGAAAGCAGAATATTAGTATCTTATGAAATGCTATTGCCATTTAAAGCTATTATCGTTGGCAGTGTCTGTCCTTTACTTCTGTTGTTTTCGTTCTTCAATGAGAGAGTTAGCGAATTTAGGACGAAGCAGTTTCGTATAAAATTGACTAGTGCAGCTTGGACAATCGAAATATAATTCAATTTACTCTTTCGTAGAACTAACGTATCTAAATACTGAATTGAACTCAGAGAGTTTTTATTTTGTAGCACACGACAATAATTAAAATTATATACAATACTTACAAAAAGTTAAGACATTTTCGACTACTCTTTGGAAAAAGAAATGTCTGAGTTCTTAGATGCCGGGAACGCAGGGAACTGACTGGATTCCGACAACCGGGTTTCATCGGATTCGGTAATCGACATAAGTCGAAAGTTACCGGTATTAACTGACATCTGATCTGATTCCGACAATCGGAATCATGTCGGATGCAGTCATTGGAATTCATCGGATTGAAACACATCCGATAGAATCCGATTGCCGACTTTCAACCTGGGTTAAGATTCTAACTTGGATATAAAAGCTAGTAAAAAGTGTACACAAATAGCACAACTGTCTCAACATAGAATACATCTATGACACATATATTTTAAACCTCAAAATTATACTAAATAAAAATATACTAAAACCAGAATATATTTTTCGAGAAACTTATATTGAAGTTTCTTGATATCAGGGCTCAGACGAAAATATTTGCACTTGTACTCTTTGTACTCATATGTTCCATTCATTATGACTCACCCAGTATGACTAACTATCAAGTACTTTTCCCACAGTATAAGTATAAGCACCGAATAATTTACTTGAAAGATAAGTGAAAGTACCAAGTTGTTTTTTCTAAGGACAAGTACAGGAGCAAGTACACTTGTGAAACGACAAGTAAAAGTAAAAGTAAAAGTAACTATTTTAACGCTCAAGTAAAATACTTTTACTTGCTGTATTTGTACTCGTCCTAGCTCTGATTCATATGTATAACTTTCTGAATTTTGTCACCGTAAATAGAAAGGCTACCAATGGAGAAGTTCTAGTGTTGCTTTCTTCGACCAACAAAAAAAACTTCTAAATTAAATAAAGAATAGCTACTCAGGTCCACTATGCAAGCCTGTTATATAAAAAGCACTCTAGGGTGGTTAGGAATGACAATGAGAATATAATCTTTATAGTTTAAAGTTGGTGTTGCATTTTTTCTAAATTAAAATGTATGCCAAAATAATACTTTTTCATTGAATTTTAATGTGAGAAAGTTAGTATGTAGAAAATTTCCTCCATTATACAAGCAATAGTTCATGCATCATAAATATGATCAACTCACTATTGATTTTACTAAAAATGTAATAAGATTGTTGAAAGCGAACCCTTTAATTATCATGCATAATTATTCGATATAAAAGTAGTGCACACAAGTTTCAATTGTACTTTTTATGGAATACATTTCTAGCATCGGATCGAATTGCATTCTTCGATAATTTTCTTTTCCCCGATAAATGTTGAACAGATTCCACAATTAAATCTTATTCAATACTTCAAATAAGCATAGAATATGTATACTTACTCATGTAGCGGCTCAACATCAACATCTTCATCCAGTTTTACCAGTGCTTTTTCGTCGCTGCATCCATCTGTTGATAGAAACTAAGATAACACTTATAAGGATTTTTATGAACATACTTTTAAGCTTTTCAAGTCGAAATTGGCATTCGTTACGAAGAATATTCAGTCTGGCTAGTGTCGAAGTATTATTTGTGTCACATGTTTCGTATTGAACAGCAATGCTTGTGAGTATCTATTCCAAGAAGAATACATTCAATTTTTAAATGAATATTTTTCACTTAAAAGAGTATTACTTCAAACGATTTATCATAGTGCCCGTCGGCAAACACTTTAAATGCGTCAGCAAGTTTATTAATATATTCACTGACGACACCAATATAATTAAATTGATGGTCTGAAACTTGTTGCAATTCATTATTAATCGTTTTGAATACACCAGGCATAGTATTTGCTATCTTTAATTTATCTGAAAGCGAAAGGTGCATATCTTACTTTATCAGCTAGAGTAGAAATGTTTATGACAAGTAATTACCGTCTTCAATTGTCTAATCATTTCGAGTTAGGAACAATAAGTAGTCTTCAAACAAAAGAAAGCCGAAAGCTCCATTGCTGGCTAATTTTCCTCACATTAGCAATCGTTGGATCTTTTGTGGAACTCACACATGTATTTACTTTATATAGCATTTTACCAGAAAAGTTTTGATGATTTCCTTTATAACCTACTGTAAAAATAAAGCCGTTCTTTGAAGACTCGAAAGATCTTCTTGATCTATCTTCATTTATGGTTTGTCCTCAAGCATCTCCGAATTTTTGAAGGAGTCACATCATAGTCAATGCACGTTTTTATGCTAAACAGAGCATGTCAAAATACAGGACATGACAGGGTTTCTTTGTCGAGCTATGCCTATTTAATGGTATATAACAGATTACGTTTTTGATAAAAGCATTATGTTAGAAGAGTTTTGTGAAACTCACATATATTTTCGAAGAAAATGGTGAGTGTAAGTTTAAAAGCAAGATTTTTGCGGCTCCCCACCCCTCCCCATTACAGACATTAATGAATTCAAAATTGTGCTAATTAGGAGCTTGACTAATTAGGCTGCTATTTCTTCCTTTTTTAATTACAGACTACACGAAAAAAGCAATGCTTGTCCATTACAGACCATAGTAACTAGTCTCTGTCATTGTTAAATATACGCGTTAACAAGTAATACTCCATTACAGATATAAGCAAATAGGCAATGACCTAATTATAGGTTTTGGAAATCAGGGTAGATTTTTCAGATGAACTACTTTGAATTATTTTAGTAAGCCGAAGGGATATATGTGAGTTCCCCATTTTAGCCCCAAAGGGGCTGCGCTAATAAGCTTTTTAACAAATACTTACAGCTATAATCATAAAAATAGTCTTATAGATCTTTCAATAACGCGTGATTATCCATTTGTAATTATTTCATATGATAGTCATATGGTGTATGATAGTTTCACTCTAAATGATTCAAGAGAAGGCCTTCCTTGTGAGAACCTACCCCTGATAGAAATACGAATGATTTGGGGAACGAATTCCACGCGTAAAATATCTGCAAGCGAAAAAATACATATTTGTTTTAATGTCAATATTCCATAGGAAATTCGAATGTACAGAAATTCGCAGTGAGGCTGAATAGATACATCATGAATAACCTTATATACTCATAGTGTATTAGCATTATGTTAATACAAATCTTTCACTAATAAAAAATTATTAAATTATTTTTTTAACTTTAATGCAAAAGCATTAACATTTTTCAAATACTAATGCTAAGCCAACATCCCATAGTGTGTCATATGAAAATCACAAAGTTTCCGATTTCTTAAGCGAAACTGAAACCGTTTTAGGTTTGTTAGAGATTAGGTTCCGTAATATACCATAAGTTTATTCCTAATGAAACGCGTTTTGTATTTGGCGTTCTCTATACTTGGGGTATGACAGTTCAGATCCTGAGAACTGTTCGGGCAGATCAAATCAGATCTAAGAACTGTTAGGATCTACACTGGGATGATGTCTATATCGATATAGGCGTCTCTTTTGGGATCTGATCTGAACTGTTCGACCAGTTCTTTTGATCTGAATTTAGATCTGAGAACTGTCATACCCCTACTCTATACTACGCTACGCAGTATTGGACGGAGGTTCCGTTCAAACGAATATTCCGCTACGAAAACAGTTTTACACCTCTATCAGGTACAAGACTCTTTTGTGTCGCTCTGCTTTCGCAGCACTATTCATAACAACAAGAAATAGGGATCTCAGCCTATTTAACGTACCTTCTCACGAGCCAACCACGATAATTCCAACTATTGTCTACTAAAATATAAAACGTCATCTATCTCAGTATTCAGATTCTCCTACCGTTATCGAAAAGACAACAGCCTTTCGGTACATTTCCATGGGGACGAATATAGTATACTCCCTGTCAATCGGAAAACATGTCATTGTAAAAAAATGAAGGCCCCCCTCCTACCCTTCAGGTTTGAGTTGTCACTTAGAAAGATTTGTTTGAGCTGAGATTTTCAGGGATGACTGGTCTTCATTAGAAACAGTCATGATAAAACTTTCAGTTCGATATATTGAATTGAGTGGATAATATGGCTTACTTACACACGATTTATGGCCACCAGGAGAATCCCCAAGGCTCTGCCAGTAGGACACCTATAAAAGTCGCGCTTGTTTTAAATTAAACCTAGCACCAATACAAAACTTTTCTCCGACGGAAATTTAAAAATTTGCTTTAGTTCGTATTTTGCAAGTATTTTACTGAAAGAGGGGTCAAAATTTGGCTAAAAATAGGCACATGTTGGTATAGAATCCGACTTTTTTAAGTTCAGGAATCAAATAGAAAAAATCTGATCGGACAAGATTTTACTTACACTTGAAGCTTCAAAATAAAAAAATGAGCTCAATATCTTAAATCCCTTGAAACTAGTTTCACTTTTTCTGATAAAAAATCTTGTTTTGAGAAAAACGATAAATAAGTTTAAAAATCATTTTTTTGTTTAAACTCGAAAAAAAATGAATATGTTATATTTTTACAATGAACCATTTCGATGATGTCATGAATGATATCAACTATTTCCGCTTATAAACGATGTTTGCTATTAGCTCCACTCTTTCAACTGACGCGCCTGTACTTATGAATATGAAATGAGAGTTTTTAACCTAATAAACCTAGCTAACATTGCTTTTACTCTTTCAATTGAATAGAATCGACAGAACTATCATTTCTGCATATAGTCATTATATTTCTTCTTTCATGAACTGATTTCTTTATTTACAAGACAGCGATCTGTGAAGCAAGGTAAAAAAAGATTGTCTTCGGATCTGGAACTGCCTGTTTTATTCGGAGACCATTTTTATAGAAAAAAACCTCATAGTTGTGATCAGCATACTGAATAAGCTATATCTAGATCGAATACCGAAAAAACAAATTCGGTTTTCGGGAGGGTGACCAAAGCAAAATGATTTTACCAAAAAGTACACTATTTTGTTCAGAATTTTATACTGATTCTAACTATGTAACTATTTTTTCAGAAAATAGTTCGGTCAAAAAATGACCTTACCGCCACTTGTCTTTTCTCGAAAAACAAGACAGTATGTCTTAGTATTTTTTCAATAAATCCCTTAGCATTAAACCCTTTAAAAAAACCTGTATATATTGTGAAAGAGGTGATTTTGAGTCATCTGCCCACGATAAAAACTCAAACTTTCATCTTTTCGGAAAATTTACTTTTTTAAGGGGGGGGGTAATTTAGCTGCAACCAAGATTCTAAACAGAAAACAATTGCAATAAATAATTCTAGTCGTAACTTACTAACTGAGAATTCTTCATGAATCTAAATAGAAAGAGACTCTTATTTTGATTCTGATGAAACCTTACCAATAATAGAATTCTCATCGAACTAAAATAGAAAGTCGAAGAATTGGATCATCTCAATGCTAAATTACCAATACTAGCATTCTTCACAGACTAAAATAAAGTGGTGGACATAATTTTAAGACATTTTCAGTATTTTGCATTTTTTGACCTAGCAATTTTCTTGAGGGTATGGGTGTGGGTGTGGGTGTGGGTAACTCATTATCAACCCATATTCATGTCGAAACCGACACCGACACCCACACCTAGGGGTGGACCGTTAATGTTAATTGGAGTTAATTAAGAGACTTAATTAAGTGATTTTACTTAACACTTAATATTAATAAAACAACGTTTCCATTAGCCACTTAATTACTTAATATTAAGTGTTAACGCAATACTTAATTTTTAATATTAAGTGTTAACGAAACACTTAATTTTTAATATTAAGTATTAAGCTTTTCGCGTTAACACTTAATTCAGTTAAAATTAAGTGATAAAATGTTTCATTTGCAGAGAACATGAATTTCTTTTGATTGTATTTTGCAGAAACGCTGTTTTTTGAAAATATCTATTTCTTAGAAGTTCTAATAGCAACTTTTGGAGGTCAAGGAATCTGAATTTGTAATTGGTTTCTCATAGTTTCTCAGCTGACTTCATCACCAGAAAACGACCATTTTATGACCATGACTGAGTTCTATAAACTTACGCTAAAGTTTTCAGATGTCGATGAGAACATTAAACTGCTAGTAAGGGTTATAAGTAGATATTTGACATCCCAGTGAGCCGGTAAAATCAACATAGCACAAATTTTATATACATAATCTGTTTATAAAAGATAGTCTTCTAGTAAAAATTGACTAATGCGAACACAGAATAAACGTTTTGGGGAATGTGATGTGTGGGTTGAGAGAAAAGCATACCTGAAACAGAAATATTGACAACAATCCTAACTCACTTTTATTAGTATTCATCATATAGAAATGGTATGTGTGAATCCTCCCCTGACTCATCTGTATAGCAACGACGAAAATGGAGTGATTCAGATGAGTTAAAATGCTGTTGATTTGAATCATTCTTCACAACATTTTTTATTTGAATATCTTGTCTTATAGAGAAACTGATGCAACTTGTATGAATTTACCAGTGAGAAATGTCAGCTTTGATATTAACTATTTAAGCCTAGTGTTCAAAAGTTGTCTAATCGATGTAACAGCCTTGTTTCCACTATAGGAAAAATACGCTTTCCTTTGCTAAATGAGACCGATTGATACGTTCGATTGAATGAATAAATAAAATCGGTAAAATCGAACGATTTACACGATTAAAATGAAGAAAATATATTTTTGTAATAGTTACTTTCGTTCTACTGAATTAAATTTTTCGTCATTTGATTCATGTTTAGATAAATTCCTTTCACATTGTATTAAATTATGCAATTCTCGATGACTTTTCGCAACTGGTGACTTAGTCCTATGTCTTACATTATATCTCTTAGCTTTAGTAAAGTTTGCAGAACATCTGATATATAATAGAAATTATTGTACGTT